GACATTGATTTTCCAGTTTTTTCCTCCTTGTTTCGCGTAGAAAAACCTATAATTTATTTTTTTTCTTACTATTTTTCGTTTTCAGAGTTGCTTTTAACAAAAATTTTGGCTTTATTCTGATCTCTAACATTTGTTGCGCTACTACTGTGTGATCTCTTTGCCTTCTAGTTCTTCTGTTCAATTTTATCCCATTTTTAAGTTTTGGTAGGTGAAAAGAGCGAAAAGAAGAGGTGGATGATTTAATTTATCAGGAAAGAAGAAAAGGGAAGAATGAAAAAACGTTTATTTTTTTTTAGATTTTTTGATAGCTTGCTTTCAGTGAATATTTTTGTTTTGCTCCTTCTTTTTCTTCGTCTCCGTTCTCCAAACCGTTGCTCTCGTCGCTTGTCGTCGTCATCGTTTTTTTAATTCTTTATTTTCTTCCTTATTTTTTTCTTAGCCATTCTTTATTTTCTTCTCTTTCTTCATTTTTTTTCTGCTACTATAATAGGTCATTAATTCGATCTTTTTATTGTTACCACCGATAGTTCTCTTGTTTACCATTATGTCGTTGCTTTCAAAAAAAAAAAAATATCTTTGTTTATTTGTGTATAGCAAAAAAAAGTTAGAAGCAGATTATTCAGTGGTGATTGATTTGGGGTGTAAACTTACAGTAAGCGTAATGTAAATTGAAATTTTTTTTTGTTGGGTGAGTATAATGAGTAAGAATGCAGAGTAAAAGTCATCAAATTGTCTCGGTATACGGCAGCTTTTTATATGCGCTTACGTGTTTTTGAAATGACAGTGGATCAAGAAAAAAGAAATTGAGAAGTTTTTATTTTCAACTATTTTTGTTTATTTTTTTGTCAAAATCACAGCAACGCGTTGACGACATGATCGTTATCATTAAGTGTAGCTGTTTATTTTTGGTATTTCTGTTTGATGGAGGACAAGATGGCAGAAGGGGTGGAAGAAGAAGAAGAAGTAGTAGTAGAAGTAGAAGACGAAGAGGAAGAAGTGGAAGATGATAAGAGAGGGAGAAGAGGGAAACAGAAGGGAATTATGTGCGAAAAAAAGTTTTTTTTGTTGTTGTTGAGGCATAAAAATGTTGCTGTTTTTTTTTTTCTAGTTAAGCAATTTCTACAGATGAATTACAGATGTAAATGTATTTGTGTAACTGTTTTTTTTTTT